GGTTCATAAAGAACCTCCTTCAACGCCTCCAGGAAGATGTCTTTATTGACAGTACCATAGTCAAGAACTTTGGCCACTCCTCTTACTTCCATCTTGAAGAAGTTGTCCTGCTGGTCAAACATGAGGGGTAATCCAACCAGGGGGACACCGTGGTAGATGGCTTCTTGCACCCCATTGGTGCCTCCATGAGCTACTAAAACCCTGGTCTTAGGGTGGCCCAGGAGGTCATTTTGAGGCAACCAGTCCAAGATTAAAGTATTGTTGCCAAGGGTGGATGGTTTCTTGCCTTTGTGCCTCCAGATCACCTTCTGAGGAAGTTCGGCAAAAGCAGCAGCAATGTCCTCAGTGATGTCCTCAGGAAGTTTATCCACCAGAGTCCCCAATGTCATCACAATGACACCATGTTCCCCAGAGCTCTGTACAAAATCCTCTAACTCTTGAGGGAGAGGTTTGGAGGGTTTGCACTGAAACCCTGAGATGTAAACGATGTTAGGCATAGTTGGTCGTGGAAACTCAAAGGTGAAATCATTTCTCATCAGCCAGATATCAGCCGCCTGAAACAGTTCAATGTAATTTATATCGCTGCCAATGTGACGAAAAGCAAAGGGCTTGTAATTTGGTGTCACAACATACCAAGTCTGAATACATGTGAAAAGATAATACATGATGTTTTTGACCCTTTGAATAAAAGTCATCTTATCACTCAGCTCTGATCCTGATATAGGAACATAAGAAAAGGGGGAGGGTGCAATTACTTCATGTCCCTCACCCCGAATAGTCCATCTGGCATTGAATACAAGTGGAAGACCCAGACGGTGAGCCAAGAAGGCCCCCCCACCAAATGCAGGGTCAGTAAGGACCAGATCAAATTTGGCATTATGGAGGCTCTGCATTAGTTCGTCATCCTCAAATATCACTTCAACCATCTGAAGCACCATTTTATGCATCAGAGAAGTTTGCGTCATCAGATCATGCACAAGAGAAAGGCGAGTCGAAAGTGAAGCTCCCTGGCGGCGAATGCCCAGAGTTCTCATTACATAGGACTCAAATTTATCTCTATCAAAACCAGCAGGAGAATTAATATTGATGGCCTTGTAATAAGGTGAGTGCTCCTTGATGTACCAGGGGTCTGATGGGCGCAACACTGTGACTTCATGTCCTCGAGCATGTAGCTCTTCAACGATGACTTTCATGTTGATCCAATGGCTCCCATCCACAGGGAAGACCAGAACCTTTCCTCCAGTTACCAAGGATGATGAGCAGAGCAACACTGCAAGTGTCACCAGGGTCAGGTGGTACATCTCTGACAGAGATTCTGATGGGAGATACAGAGATGTTAGCTCTGTTCCTTTGAACAAATTAGACTTGTTGAAAGTTTCCACCACCATACAAAAGCATGCCCATGATAGAGTTGTGTAAGGACAGAATGTACCATACTGCAAGTTTCCCAAGCCACATGAAAAGTGTTCAATGGTTAAGATCAATGATGCTTAGATTTATTATGCAATGCCCACCTATTTGGCATAAAACAAAGAATATTGTAAGGATTTAAACATCTAATCAAAGTTTCTAAGTATTTCAAAAGTTTTGTTGATGTACGGCAAATGCTTTCTAGGTTGTCTAGACAAAACATGTTATTGCAGATACATTAAACAAAGGGTCTTCATGTGGTGTTACAGCACCACACCAAGGCCAATAGTTACTGTAGCACTTTGGAGACATTTGTCGATGGAGTTAGTTCTTAAAACGATTGGGCGTATACAAGGATAAATTTAGAAATGACAAATTAAATATTTGCTTTGGAAAACATGTTTCTGTGTGAACAAGGCCCAAGATGCAATGTTTTTGTCACTTTACATTCATTTTTAGAAGTTTAGGCAAACAAGGATGATTTGAGTTGTCAAAAAAATCTATTTTAATTTTGAGGTCAAATTTTTTAGGTTTGATTACAAAAAGGGTTGGCCATGAAATTAAATGTATTGTGTAATTCATGGGCCGCTGTCTGATTGGCAATCTACTCAACTAGCATGTGTGTGATATAAATCCAATCATCTGTCCTAGTCTATGATGTTCTGCCATGTTTCTCTGTGGTTGTGCATCCTAGGACTTTTGCGACTAACCACAGTTTGTGAGGGAACAGCATGCAGGTGCATATAAACTCCCATACCAAAGGTGTCACCAAAGACAAAGAGATACAAAGACCTGCAAGTCTGACACCAAGTAAAAGAAAGAAAACAAGGATGGTTGTTTTAAGGAGATATTGTTTGAGATGAGTCTTTAGCCCTAATTCTACAATTTATCACTCAAGAACCACAAAGGCACCAATGGGGGGTGGGGTACAAACTTCTTTCACATTAACAGCTAGCAAACCAGCGTTTACCGGTACTATACTGAACTGGAGTGGGAAATTGTGAACCCATCAGTTGAAAAGTGTGGAGCAACCGACCCACATAGCACATGCAAGTTAGTAAGAGTTTGCAAGTTAGCAATAGGTCCCAACAGTGTTGCCCAAGTGTAAATAGAAACTTTATGAAAGCCTTTAAGATCCAAAAATACATAAACGTGAGTACAAACACAAACAAACATTTATATGACATTTTATATTTATACATTTCAGCATTTTTGTAGTTGGTTTGTATTGTTTTGTATTGTATGTAACATTTTTGTTTTATTATTATTTTTTGGTGCTATATACTTCCATATAGAAACCTATATTGATTTATAACAATTAAACAATAATAACACCTACCCTACATTACATAATTGAATTTATATAAATATGAATGTATCTGTATAGTGCCCTAAAATGACTTCTCTTGTGACTTGGTGCTATATAAATAAACCAAATTGAATTAAATTAAGCATAAACCAAAACGACACTAGAAGTTAGCTTTAGCTTGAGTTATGCTTATCAATCTTACGTTCCTCAAACTAGTTGAAGACCCTGAAATCCTGAAATTACATTTAAGAAACTGAAGGACACAATTCTTTAGGTTTTAGGGGATTTATTTACACATCCACATATGAACAAATCACAAAGTAAGTTAGTACAATGCTTTTACGTGCTTTCAACATTAATATAAGAATATTATTAGAGCTTAAAGGAGATTTAACTTTTTTAGACTTTTGTTATGAGTACTTTTTTTACTTGGTGATACATGTACAAGTACACAGGTTTTAACATGTCACTCAAGGTTACAAGTGGGACGGTTCCATTCTTCAGTAGTTAATAGATGAGAAATGTTTATGTACTGCATACAGGGTTTGAAGAATCTCTTTGTAGCTGAGTAATCAGGAAGTTGTTGTCATACTTCAGAAAATATGAACGGTACTGGTACTCAGTTGAAAATATCAATCTGCATTTGAAAACACGTTGTCAATGGGCACTTGCATCATTCCAGTTTTGCTTTACTTCTGCAAAAAAGTTTCTGACAAAGAACCTTTACTACATAAATGAAAACAGTAAATACTAGCACAATGACTGCCAGTAGAAATGCCATAACATCTAATGAGTAGTACTGGATTGTGGACATCTTGTAGGACTCTGTCCTCAGAT